GATTTATATTCCAAAGCCACTCATATAATGCAGAAACACTCAAGCAAGCAAAACACGAGCAACGCGTGCAGGTATTTGTACTGATGCAGAATAGTACAGCCTAGCGCATTTCACACAGGCTGCTAGATTCACTTTCGCCAGAAAGTCGTGTATGCCTAAGGTTGAAAATAAATGATGTTTATAGTGAATGCCCATATAAATGGTCTTATTTTTACGATTTAGCTTTAATCCAAATTATACGTGTGCTAAGTGAGTGAACATCAAAGATGTTCTCTCTCTCTCTCTCTCTCTCTCTCTCCCTACCGTTAAGTAACTTGTGCATTGTTTTACTTACTTGTTTTTGACACATCCGACCGAACTACAAACTATCCAGTGATGTCTGTGAGAAAGGTATATTCACTCGACAAGCTCGCGCATCTGCGCCGCCACGCGCTCAATCTACTCAGCGTGCTTTGTTTATCAGTTCGCGCACATCAGCTATACAGGCGTTAATACGGAATGTTTAACGTTATATTCATTGCATTCATATACTTCATAGTAGACATCCTTAACTCCATTTTGCTGTCTGTTGTTCTGTTGTCGGTGTTTCTTTGTCTGAATATGGCGCTTACATGCTGTGTGGTATCGGCCTTTGGTATCGGGGCATTTTAACGAGTACGAGTACGAGTACAGGAGCTCAGTATCGGGCCCGATACCGATACCAGTATCAGTATCGGTGCATCCCTACTAATTAAACACACCTGATCCAACTAATCAAGTCGTTCAGGCTTATTTGAAAACTACATGGTATGTGCGTTGGATCAGGGCTGGATCAAAACTCTGCTGGGCTCCGGCCCTCCAGGAATTGAGTTTGACACCTCTGCGATAGAGCATTAACTTTTAGCGACAGTCCCCAGATATTTGAATTCTGAACCGTCGCAATACGTACCTGAAGCAACGTAATAAAATCACAGCAATACATACCTATATCAACGTAATAAAAGCGTGCCAGAGTTCACATATTGAACCCATGTTTTAGCGCCACTCAGTGGACATTTCTCTTTGAAACTGTGGCAAAACGTGCAGTAAGGTACGTAAAAATGGTGTTGCAGAAAAGTACCCAGAGGTACGTTTTTTATGAGACCAGGTTGTTCTCATAAAATGTAAGTAAAAGGAGGCATGCAAACATTTTGCGAACATTTTCCAAAAGATTTTTCATTTTTGCTGAACTGTTCTTTAAAAAAAAAAAAAACAGAGGATAAAACAAAAATATTTAAATACCCACAGGGTTTTCACTTTTCACTTTCAATTTTATATTTGAACTGATGTCAAATAATGAATACTACAAAAGGGGAATTCCTATATGATTATTCCATATTTGTACATTTTAAAATCACTTCACACAACAAATAGATCACCATAGCAAGCCTTCAGGCTTTGAAAAAGACAGATTAGCTCCACAGTCAACAGCAGCAAGGTCGCTGAGAGAGGTTGAATATAACACGCACAACCAGGGGAGCAATACAAATTATATACACAGACCCTCTCCTCAATGAAATGCTGAAAAATAAAAGTTAGAAATCCAAAGCTGTCTTAGGACCAGACACTGTTAAAGGCATGCACCTTGTTTATTTACATCATGAGATTATTTATCAACAGCATATGAGAATAGTTGGAATGAATGAAAAAAAAATATGAATACATACATACATACATACATGCATACATTTTCTGAGGTAAATGAGAATGTTACACATGCTTTTTATAGAACTTAATGTATATTTAACCCAGAATAGTCCTGTAACCACCCAACCAGTCTACAAGTAAAAAATATTATCCTCTCAATATGTAAATGAAAAACAAACAAACAAGCAAATTAATTAATTAAATTAACAAACAAACATTGACACACACAAGTAGATGGCAGAATCAAGATATGGTCATGACTGTATGGTCTCCAGTGGGCTAAATTAAAACATACTTCTTTTTTTCATGTTTTTTATTTTGTTCTGTTATTAACATGGAGATAACTCATTTAGTGGAGTTTGCTTTGAGCAAATGTGTGATAGTCACAACCCTATATTATCCAAAGACCTCAGGAGGAAAATACTTCACTGCAAGTACTTCACATCTAAACATTTATCTAAATCTTTATCTATCTATCTATCTATCTATCTATCTAGACAGATAGATAGATATATTTTTTATTTTGCTCAAACCTGTTAAGTTTATGCCAGCTTGCATGCCAGGAAAATTGGGACATACCAAATGATAACAATTCTGATATTCATCTTTATTTTTAAGTTCAGCTGCCCCACCAATCATGTCATTTGTGATGACAAATTCTATCTAAAATAAGAAAAATGCTAAGTAGAAGGGATGTTTGGACCCCACTGTATGAGTGCTCACCTCATAAGTGACCGCGCTGTCTGTCCCCGCATCCCATGGAATAAGGTCCTGAACCACCTTCTGGACCCAGCCACACTCTCTGGTGCAGAGGTCCTCTGATGACAGACCCACGTTCCAGTCAGGACTGGGACCCAGCATGGTCAGAAAGGACATCAGGTGACGTGTGCGGTCCACTGAGAACTCAGCTGAAGGAGCTGCTCGACTGCAGGTAAGAGAGAAATCAGGTGCATTCATATTTATATAGCATATGTCACATTCATACATGAGAAGGCACTACATATGTTATGTGTTAAGATATTATTTTCATGACATCAAAATTATAATAATTATTTACTTCATATTAATCAATAGCTAATAATAACTGTAATGCAAGCAAGCATGCAAAGAAATTAAGAACAAAAGAAAGGTTTAAATTGTGAAGTATTTATTGAACTTTATTTATTTTATTCCGAATAAAATTATCATGACAATAATTCCATCACAAGAAGGGTGAGAACAGAAAGATAGTCAAAAAACAGGCCAAAAGTCAGCAGGCCGGCAGAGACGTGTAAAATATAAGAAAGAAAATGTGTGTGTGTGTGTGTGTGTGTGTGTGTGTGTGTGTGTGTTTCTGGCGGAGGGGTGTGTGATCACTGAATGTCTTGCCATTGTGTTCTCCTCTTAAACCCGAAAGTGGGATTCCTTTTGTAGCCACCACTCTGACTGATATTATCTCATCATGATACCTCTTATCTGGTAATTACACATCTGAACTGCCCTCTCTCTCCATCACTCATTCAACAGACAGCACTAGTGCAATGGCAGAGCAGTAATTGTTCTAGTCATCAGTGAAACAGTAACTTAGTTATTTCTTATGTCCACACTGAAATTATATATTATAGAGTTTGTCAACTTTTCTTCAAATTCCATTAACATGTACAGAGTACTGTAATTCCTTTTTTTAATCATTAATTCCCCAATTATTATGTAAGGGCAGTGAAGACCAAGGAGAATCCAGAGGAAGAGTAGATTGGGAGCAGCCAGAGGACTATGTTTATCTGCTTACCCCCAGGGCATCCAAGATGTAGGTGACTTTGTTTCTTCAGTAGAACACATTTGATGACTTTTAACTCCAACCGTTGCAGTCTATCAGTCGTATAATGCATGGCAAAGGTAACAAAATCTATGAGAGTAAAAAAAACATGCACAGACAAATCCAAATTAAACCCTGCGGCTCGTGACGACACATGGCCGTCTAGTCCCTTCAAGCGCCGTGGGCAGAGAGAAGGATGAAGCTGCTGAAAGAAGCCGCCGCCCCTCGTGCCCCGGACCGGAGAGGAGAGCGCAAGCGGCCGCCGGACTCCGCCCCTTACCTGGACCCTTCCTTCCTGACCACTGCCCTTCCCTTCACGAACCCCGCAGCACACCAGATCCCCGGTTTATTTTGGACACTTGATTCCCTTTTTTTCTGGACACTTTGTTTATTTTCTGTTAATAAACGGTCTGTTATTGCCATGCATTATAAGACATACTGCAACGGTTGGACTTAAAAATCATCAAATGTGTTCTACTGAAGAAACAAAGTCACCTACATCTTGGATGCCCTGGGGGTAAGCAGATAAACATCAAATTTTCATTTTTGGGTGAACTATCCCTTTAAGGGGTTGACATTAGGCATTATGGCATTATTAGTTCCAGGGAGAATAGATTGTTATTGCTTCTTCTACTATGAACTGTGCAATATGTGCTGGATCAGGGATAGACAAGGCCTAAGAACATCTATTCGTCCTTGAAGGAATGATTGTCCAGGGTGAGTAAGCTGATTTGGATCGCTGTTAGATACATCTTTTGGATTGGTCATTTTAGTACATATTGCTGGTGTCAAAAAGACCAAAATCAAAACAAAAGGGAGACTATGGTGCATGGAAAAGCAAATACACACCAGTATAACGTTAAAGTTAAACCAAGAACTGACAATGAACTACAGAACAAAATATAAACTAAGAAAATTTCAACACAAAAGTTCAAAAAGACAACAAAACTTAATATATGTGACAGTAGAATTGATGTACGTTGAGTTGGGGTCCTGATCACTTTTTCTTCAGAAAGACAGTACATCATTCCTAATATAAACCCCAAGACCCCAATGTAAAGCAGACAATTTATAATGACAGTAGAGTTTTCTTGCAAAGGGTGACAGAGTCTAAAACATAATACAGTAAAGATAGAAAATCATATTTACACAAAGAGCTCTATTTTAATAATCCAAACAAATTTTAAAACCACTTTTCTATACAAACAATAACATCTGTATCTAATTTACACATGAAGAAGACTACAATGATCACGGTGATAACATTTCTGTCTGCAGGTCTCTGTAACCCCTATTTCTCTCCATTTCAGACATATCTATCTTTCCTTTGTATTGACTCAATATGGCTGTCAGAGATAAAGTTAACCCCTCGGAGATGTTCTGTTAAAAGAGTGATGCATATCAAGCTCACACAGTGGGGTGGACCACCAGGTAGGTGTTCATAGGCAGGATTATGTCACACATTTGTTGTACATGCTCACCGAATTTGATTTTATTGTGTATTCTGGGCATGAACTATTCACCAGCTCTCGTTTAACTGTCTCAGATGTAATGAACATTCATGCATCGGTGAATGTTGTTACGGTCTCTGGTAGTTAAAACTCACGGAGAGCAGGGAATCCCAAAGAACAGTCTTTAATATAAATCCACTTGGAAACAGGAAACAACTCAGGAATAATCCAAACAGACATGTAACATGGACAATAACTGGCAACTGAAATGGGGAGAACTCAGGACTTAAGAACCCAGGGAATAATGGGATAATTAACAACATACCAGGTGGGAACAATGAACTCAAGACAGGCAAAAACTAGGTCACAACAGAAACTCAAAACACTCAGACATGTAACACACGCAGCCGATGGTCCTGGAGACCGAGGAGGAGCCGCGGCGACAAGCATCCGAGGAGCAACCGGAAATCCTGAGGGCAGAGGCTGAGCTGGTGGGACCGAGGACAAAGGTTGAGCCGGGGGAGAAGGAGGAGCCAGCCAAAGCCGCAGGTGCAGGCAGGCCGATGACTGACCAAGGCGGAGCCGGAGGGACGAGGGAGCCCGGAGAAGCCGTATGGCCGATGGTATCCGGTGGAGCCGAGGGAGGGAGGAGCCAAGGTGGAGCCGAAATGTCGACAGGCCGAGGTGGAGCAGGGGGTGCAGAGGCTGGAGGCGGAGACAGGGGATCCACAGGGCTGGATGAAGCAGCTGGCCTGCAGACACTTAACAGAACATCATTACTAATATGGGCTGCTGAGGTGCTGGAGGACAGCAGCTGAACTGGGTCTGAGTAACTGGCTGACTGAAGAGGTGGGAGAGGCAGGCTGGGTGGAAATTCAAGGGATACTGGAGATACAGGGAGCGCAGGAGATACAGAAATCACTGGAGATACAGGGGGCTTAGGGTTCACCTCTCCAAAAAGTCAATCAGGTCCATTACAAAAATGTCTTTAAGTTCCTCATAATATCCACCAGAGGCCAGTTCGTACTCACTCATAGCGGTGGGAGTGTGGGAGGGGCAATCCTCCATGTCCCCGAGCTCCACTAACACTCCCTCAGCGCTCAGCAGTGTAGCCGGCTCGCGCACCTGTTCCGACCTTTGCAGAGAAGCAGGCTCTGGGACGATGGTAACTTCCGACCTTGTCCTTGGTCCAAGTTCCTCCAGCGCGGCGAGCTGACCTCCTTGGTCTGCGTTGGGCACGTGCGACACCTCCTTCCCGTCGGTCGCTGGTGGTGGGCTGGTCTCTGGCAGTGGCGGAGTGGGGCTGGTGGCGAAGTCATCCTCCGCAGGGCCGATGGTGAATGCAGAGTTGTTGTGTACCAGCACCCACTCCACAAAGACGGCGAAATCCTCCTTAGGACCGCCCGCTTGAACGCGTGCCTTTGAACGCTCGTTCAGGCTGGTGTAATAGAAAACACAGAGCGAGCAGTCTGGATAGTGAGTAAGGCATGCGAGCTGAATAAAATCCAGGGCGTGAGCATCCAGCGGGCGATCTCCCTGCTCCAGGCAGAGAAGTTTTATGGGGGTAAGGTCCATAGTAAAAATTAAACAAAACAAAAAAGAAATGCCAGAGAAAAAAACAGTTTCGGCCAGTTATTCTGTTACGATCTCTGGTAGTTAAGACTCACAGAGAGCAGGGAATCCCAAAGAACAGTCTTTAATATAAATCCACTCGGAACCAACTCAGGAATAATCCAAACAGACATGTAGCATGGACAATAACTGGCAACTGAAATGGGGAGAACTCAGGACTTAAGAACCCAGGGACTATCCCATAATTAACGACACACCAGGTGGGAACAATTAACTCAACAAGACAGGCAAAACTAGGTCACAACAGAAACTCAAAACACACAGACATGTAACAAATGTATCTTTCAAGCAATTAAAACTTGTAATCAAATGATTTGATATGTTGATAAATTAACTGACATTTATTGTGGCAAACGAGTAGATGAGAAAAGACATTCAACACATTGCTTATTTCTATATCATTAACTTGCTACCATGGAGGAAAATTCCTCATTTTGGAATTATAAAATGTAGAGGCCAGGAGGCAAACTTATGTATGCTTATTAATATGCATATGCACTACCATTAAAAAATTGGGGTTGTTAGATTTATTTTTCTTTTGTAAAATTATACACACATATTTATACACTACACACACACACACAATGTGTTTAAAATCTTTTTTGTAACAATTTCATAGTTACTGCTCACATTAAATCTATTTATTAGGGCCTTGTTTAATCATTTATTTGGAACTTTCTTAAAAAAAATGAATGATAGTATATATGTTTATATGATCTGCATTTTTTTGATTCATAGACATAAAGCCTCATTCTTTTCCATTTGTGATGTGTACACAAATGGCTTTGAAATAACAAACAGTGCTCTTAAAATAGCGCTGCATGTCTGACATATATAATTTTAACTGACAGTCACAAGCATACACATATGCTGTATGATAGCAACTGCAAAAGTCAGCATAAATTTGTGTCATTATTACTTAACAAGAAAGCAAAGTCTGTTATAAAGCCGTATACCCCTTAAGGAATATGAAATCATCCAACTCCACCCTTTAAAAGAGACACAACACACAGACACACACAAATATATGCTTTAACAAATCATGCAGCTAATTAGAGACTTTGCTTTCATTGACAACCTATCATTTTACTGTCTGCCTGTCAGTGCACTGCTAATAAACTCAACTCAAGCTTTTCAAGCTAAGGTTTCTGGAAAGTTCGAATAGCAGAGTACGCATTAGCTGTTATTCTAAATATATAGCTACTGAGCAACAGACCTGCGGAGAAGATGAGAGGACAACAAAAGGAGAGAGAGAAATAAAGAAAGAACATGCATCCCATTTAGGATTTTTGGACATTAACTGCTGTTATAGTCAAATTATAGCATCTGTTTTTTTTTATGCAGTGTGAGGAAAGACATTTATAGCTCTGGTCTCAAGCACTTCAAGCACTTCTTGCCTCATACTGAGCATTTCATGACACTCTGAGTCAATTCAAAAGCAATTTCCTGTCTACTCTCAAGTCCTAATGCACCCAAATATACCCAATGAGGTGAATACAGCATTATAAATTTGAAATTCTTCGTGCTTGAGTGATTCTTGGAGCACTGATCAATTTAGATCACTTAAATGTTAAATAAAGAGAAAGCAGAACACTCTGTTTTTTTTTTTTCATGAAACACAGTTGTTACTGTCTGGGGAGAAAGAGGCAGTACTCAACTTTGTAAAGAGCTTAAGTACTCTATATAGCAAAAAAAAAAAAGTGAGAGAGATCTTGTTTTTTGATGAGATATTATTCAACAGAGAAAAGGATATAAAACCTGTACACACACTACATGACAGTTACTTACACATTAAGGGGCTGCCAGGCCGGCCATTGGGCCTTCATCTTTATGACGGTCAAGACCTCATCACCCTGTGTGATAAAACACATAAAAGTAAATAAATATAGTATAGCTCTGATTTACTACAGTGCCAAGGACTCTCCTTAGGCTCTGTAAAATCATTATATAAATGTATAATGTATTTATTTATTCGAGAATAGGTCATGAGTTCATTTTTCGGTAACACTTCATTTTAAGGACCAATTCTCACTATCACCTAGCATGTAATGTATATTACTAGAATATTGGCACTTTATTAGTACTTGTAATGCACATATCAATGCCTTATTCTGCATGACCATATTTTAGATCCCTACCACATACCTAAACTTAACAACTACCTTACTAACTATTTAGAAAGCAGCACATTAGGAGTTTATTGAGGCAGAAGTCGTAGTTGATAGCTAGTTAATAATGATAATTTGACCTTAAAATAAAGTATATGACCCATTTTTCTGCCAATAAAAATTAGCAAATTAAACATTTTAATTTTTATCTTGAACAAAATTTTTCTTTAAACAAGAAACATTCTCTGAAAAAAAGTCTTGATTTTTAACTTGATCAATTTTGCTCTTTAAGCAAATTTATCTTGCTTTTTTGCAAAAATAAATAAATAAAATTAAACAACAACAACATTTTTCCAGCGTTTCTTTCTTTCTCTCAACACATCCCTCCATTTGTCTTGACAGGAAGTGATAAATGAAGCTTCTCTTTCTTCCTACTGATGGAGTGATAGCATCAGAGTCTCGTAAAAGCTGTATAAATATTTAATCAATGGCTTGCGGCACACAGGCCAGCAGTGTGTGTATGTGTGTATAGCTCTGTCCCACTCGAGCCATATCAGGAGTTCATGGGAAGGGCATCACTAAAGACTGTCAAGGGAATCAGGTTTACTGCTGGGGTTAAAGGGCATCATTCTTCATAATGCAGCAGTATGACACTTTGTTTCACACTTTGAGCCTATGCAGTATTGTTCCAGCTGTCTTACAGACCAGTTCTTGTCAATTCAAAAGCAGAACACACTCATACATTAGATTTGCTAGAAGATCACTAGAAGAGTCTTTAAGTGTGAGGAAGGATTATGTTTTCTTTGGTTCGGTAACACTTTAGTATAGGGACCAATTCTCACTATTAACTAGTTGCTTATCAGCATGCCTATTATTAATGTTTATTAGTACTTCTAAAGCAAATATTCTGCATGGCCATATTCTACATCCCTAATCCTACCCAATACCTAAACTTAAAAACTGCCTTACTATTAGTAAGCAGCAAATTAGGAGTTTATTGAGGCAAACGTCATAGTTAATGGGTTTGTTAATCGCGAGAATTGGACCTTAAAATAAAGTATGACCCTTGGTTCTCAATAAATTACATGTCACAGAACTGGTGTCATTGTTATTCATGTAATTCATTTTCTGGTTGATTTCATTGCAGAGGTGCAAACATTTGGGATTATAACTTTAGAATATTTGAGGAACCTAAATATAAAGCTGCTTTACAATGATGAGGCACAAGATAAGACAAGTATTTGCAATCAGTGTTTGTACCATCAGTACAGTTCTTTGTTTTCAAGCAGGGATGTGTTATAGATCAAAATAAATAGATCATGCTCTTGGACACAATAAGCAAACTAAAATACAGTACATTCTAACCACGTTCCTGGTGATCTACCATCCTGCAGACTTCAGTTCCAACCCTGCTTCAACATTAGCTGGTTCAGGTTGTTTGATTGAGTGTCACAAATCAGCTGTGCATCTGAAAATTGCTTGTGTGTAAAATGCATAAGTAAAACTAAATTTGATGTGCATTATAGTAGCATCTTACAGACATTATGCTGTGGAGAAAGCTAATGAACCACAAGTATATGAGTAAAGTGTATGCCAATTACACATTGCATGTAAAAAAAGAGCTGCTTTCTGTTGTTTGTGAAAATTAATTATAATAATATGACATTATTTACGATCGCAAATGTATTACTTCATCAGTTAATTACAGTCCCATATTGTTAAATTAACATGGTGCAAACGATGGAGGTGTGACCATGTTAATATGACTTTGGGAAACAGTTGTACAGTTGCTTTCTCTAATGATGCATCATGCTATTAAAAGGCAAGTGATTTGGTTCAAAAACATTTTTTTGTATGCTGGTTGAAAGTCTCTTCACATCCCGATAGCAATAACTTAGTTAAGTGATCTAAATGTATTTATATACAGAGTTCTGGCATGAAACTCTAGATGGCGCAGTTCGATAGGTCTAACTCAACCTGACCTAATGACATCATTATCACATGGCACAACTGATTGGTTCTCTCCTGTATCGTTAGCCAATGAGCTTGCTGCTCAACATTCAAATATATGATTAGTGCTTGCAGTAGCAGTTGCAGCTTGCTTCAGAACAGCAAAATAAACATCTAAGATAACTGAATGCTCTTCTAATCCATATCGCTATGTGTATTGCGTGGTCTGCCTAATTGAATTCAAAAATGAGCAACCATAATCAAGTTTAAACTAAGTGTCATGTTAGCAGTTTGCATTGTATGCAGGAGCAAATATTAAGCATATTAGCAGCAGCATTTAGCATCTGTGTTTATACAGCCGGAGCAAAACGCAGTTTAGAGCATATGTAATCGCTCTGAGGACACGCCGATAGTAACGGACATGAAACAGGTTAAATGAAATAAGCATTCTTATGTATGCATTTCAACAGGGGTTCGCCATATACATCGGCGATTATCCCAGTGTTCACGTTTGTTATTTCTAAGGTCGATGTTTTCATTGTGATGAGTGTGTGGTTGATTTCAGCTGCACGCAGCGTCAGAAGCACGCGCTTATCGCAGTCATATCAATGACAGTGTTGCGAGAGACGCTGAAGATCACTATCTACGGCTGTAGCAGTTAGTTCAGAGTGAAATGCATTATGGGTAGTGTATTTCGGAGAAATGTGCTCATGCGACGTGTGCTCTCGCTGTGCTGTGTAATTCAGAAGACGGAGAAAGAACATTTATATTCTGCTTTTATTTCAGTTCATTCAGGTCAGTCCACCCAGGGGTTTTTGTGCACTGTAACTTTGACAACTTTTATCTGCACGAGAGAGTAAAATGGCATGCATCGGCTAACTTTGTCCATCTCATCATTGCACGAACACGAATTAACGAGCTGTTATGCTGCCGCTGTTTTATCTGCATGAGAGAGTAAAATGGCATGCATCGGCTAACTTTGTTCGTCTCATCATTGCACGAACATGAATTAACAAGCTGATACGCTGCCGCTGGGACTGATGAAGCGGAGAAAGTAACAGCAGTTATTAAATTACTAAATTATGATATTTGCTCAGGTGGGTGCTGGGGTCTTATCTATCAGATTGCAATGTATATCCATTTTGTTAATTAAACAATTAAACATTACACATAGTGCGTGTCTAATTAGAGTTAAGCCAGTCGGCGTGGTAGCCCAGGCTCACATAGTCATAGCCACTATTGTTAAGCCGGTCGGCGTGGTAGCCAAGGCTCAAGGCTCACTAGGTCACTATTGTTAAGCCGGTTGGCGTGGTAGCCAAGGCGCACATAGTCATAGGCCACAGGCCACTAGCCGGCCGGCGTGGTAGCCCAGGCTCACATAGCCATAGGCCACTAGTGTTAAGCCGGTCGGCGTGGTAGCCCAGGCCCCAGGCTTCATAGCCCACTATTGTTAACCCGGTCGGCGTGGTAGCCAAGGCTCACATAGCCATAGGCCATAGGCCATAAGCGGGCCATTATTGTTAAGCCGGTCGGCGTGTTAGCCAAGGCTCACATAGTTATAGGCCACTAGTGTTAAGCCGGTCAGCGTGGTAGGCCAGGTT